GAGGCTACCAAGATCTCAGTCACATGTGGGAGACAAATGGTTAAAATAAGGCCACACCTTGTGTGCAGCTGGCACCTTTCCCAGAAATGATTGGTCCTTTCCAACTTCCATCATCCAGAGGAGGGGTGGGACTTACAAAGGAAATGGATGCTTCCTTTAGAAAGTAGGGCCTTTGGTTCTATCCCTCTGGGGCCAGAACTCTGATGGATTTAAAGTGGATGGTGATCACTCCCCAAACTATTCACACATGCCAGCTGCCATTGATAACTCATTGTAGTTTACAAGTCATTTGAAATCTAGCCACCTACTTCCCTAACCTCCTCCCTGTGGGATAGAGCTAAAACTCCACCCAGTGTGCTACTGCAGTTTAAATTTCCCACTCTATTTACCTGGTTTCCGACCCTTTATTCTTTTTTTTTTTGTCTGTTGTGGGGCCTGAACTCTAGGCCTGGGTACTGTCTCTCAGCAATTCAGCTCAAAGCTAGCACTCTACCACTTGAACCACAGCGCCACTTAAGGCTTTTTCTGTTTATGTGGTGCTGAGGAATTGAACCCAGGGCCTCATGTATGCAAGTCAAGCACTCTACCACTGAGCCACCTTCCCCCCTTTATCCTTTCAAATGAGGCCAGTCATCTCTCCTCCACAAAGCCTTCTTTGACTACACAGAACTGAGTTAGCTTCCTGTCTTTTATTTTTAAGTTCTAGCAGGAGTTTATCTTATAGGGCTTAGGTAGAAAGAAAAATAAATAGTTCCCACTTTCCATGCAGAATGGGGTTCTTAAAGACTCTGTGTGGGGCTGGGAAGGTGGCTCAGTGGTAGAGCACTTGCCTTGCATGCATGAGGCCCTGGGTTCAATTCCTCAGCACCACATAAGCAAAAAGAAAAAAATGGAAGTGGTGCTGTGGCTCAAGTGGTAGAGTGCTAGCCTTGAGCTGAGGGACAGTGCCCAAGCCCAGAGTTCAGGCCCCATGACCGGACTCCCCCTCCGCCCCCCAAAAAAAGACTCTGTGTGTGTATTTGCTTCTGGTACCCAGCAAGTTGTGATCTAATTTGTTTACAGTCCTTGCCTGAATGCCTTTCCCAAACATAGGGACCTCATCTTCACTCATTCTATCTCTAGCCCCTGTGTAGTTAGTATTTGGTTGTGGGGCAGACAGAAGGGAACCATTACCAGGCCCTTGCCTGTCACCTCAAACCTTCCCAGTCTCTCACCTTGTCTTGCTGAAGTTCCGTCATCACTCAGAATGATGTGGAATAAGACTCAAGAGTCTACCTCTATAATGCCTTCATCCTTTTCCAACTGCATCCTCCCAATTTAGTCCATAAAACGAAGGAACAAGTCGGATTAGCCAATCAGGGGCACCAGAGGGCGCTCTTGGGTCAAGAAGTAATCAGAAACCATTGTACACCCAAATTCCAGTTTCAACACACAATTTTATCATTGCTTAAGAAGCTGCAGTGGCTTCTCATTGCCTAACCTATAACCTATCTTAAGCTCCAAGTTCTTTCTTCATAGTCTAACTCCACCTCAACTGCAAGCACCCTCTAGCCTAGCCTAGTCACCCTTGGCATTGATCACTCTTCACCACGCCTGCTGTCAGGACTTGGTTGGGTAGCCAAATCTCCCAAGACCTCCAAGTAAGCATAATGGAAATAAAAGTAGAGGGTTTGTCTTGCAAGCTCCTTCACTTTCCCCCCACCAGCCCCATCTGGGCAGCTTCCCTCACTGTGTGGGCCTGGCTGAAGGTATACATATGGGCTGTAGGTACAAAGCTGTACTGTAGGTACACATGGACATGGCTGTAGGAACATGGTTACATGTAGGAGCATAGCTATGGGAACTTGGCTGCAAGTCCTATGTATAACTAAATGTTATATATAGACATGCATGGTTCTTCCCTTGTAGATCTAGGCACACAGCTGTATGTAATTACATTGACACACTCTTCCGAATCCTTGTCATACTTCCTGTTTATGCCATGACTTCCATCTCTTAATTCAGCTATAACAATTACAGCTATAGTATAGAAGTTTGGGATTTAAGTCTTCCTTTAAATTATAGGTGGTGTTTTTTTTT